CTTTCATCAAAGAGTTTTAATAGTAATTATTTTCTAATTCAATTAATTCATGATTTGTTTCTTTTAAATTCATTATCTAATTCAAACCTACAAAATAAAAGGCAAGAGGTTGAAGGTCAGCACTTTAAAACTGTTCTAGAAAGTCTCATCACCAACCCCACATGTGTATGTAATTAGATATTGTCCATGTGTATGTAATTAGATATTGATCATGTGTATGTAATTAGATATTGTCCATGTGTATGAAAATAGATATTGTCCATGTGTATGTAATTAGATATTGTCCATGTGTATGTAATTAGATATTGTCCATGTGTATGTAATTAGATATTGTCCATGTGTATGTAATTAGATATTGTCCATGTGTATGTAATTAGATATTGTCCATGTGTATGTAATTAGATAGTGTCCATGTGTATGTAATTAGATATTGTCCATTTATTGCAAAACAGTCTTCTCTGGTGTCATTTTCAGCAATATTAAACGTTTATTAACAAACTTATAAAGTTGATTTATCCATTTGGGCTCGTATGAAATTATAGTTACTTTGTTACTTGTGTTATTTACCTACTGTTTAAAAAAAATTGTACAAAATCATTGTATTCTTAACAATGTCAAAGTGTGACAGACTAACTAGCTTAAGGCCTGTCAAAACTATATTCATTATGTAATGATAAAATATGACTGCTAATGAAATATATTCATAGTGAAATATTCAGAGTTCCACTTTTATGGAATAGAAATTATTGAAAACCTATCCTATGCATAACAAAAGAACTGAAACAATAAAACAATATACATCTTCATTGTACAATTAAAATTATATATGTAATAGAAAGAGCACCGAAACACGAGGTTATCTGATTTGTACGAGGGGGCGTAGCCCCCCGAGTATTAATCAAATTGCCGAGTGTTTTGGTGTTCTTTCTCTTTTGTATCATAGTCAAACATAAAAGCACGCTCCCTGTTGTCACAATATGAAACCCCGGCAAAAATGAACCAATGAACGAACATCTGAATATGACATTTCTGTCGCTTTCCCTTTCTCTGCCGTCACAATATGTAAACCCCAGCAAAAATGAGCCAATCAATGGGCAAACTCTGGAGTGCGGGTAACTAATACCCGCACTCCAGTTAACGCACTGTGCATGTATATGTATACGATTTAACTCTGACACATTTTCAACAGAAAGGTCTCCAAACTATGATACAAATATTGAAAAGAAAATATTAAACAGAAATAATACCACAATAAAGTACATGTGAAAACTATGCTTACAGTATGTGATTATATGTAAACAATTAAGATATAGAATCAAAACTAAATAAACAAAATAGAGCAACTTACAGTTTGGATTTTCTTACAACCTAAAAAATATCTCAAGTTTTCGTAATGTAAATATTGATTAAATAATGCTTTTCTAAGGAACTTCACAGGGATTTTTGACACAATGGTACTGTCTTCTTTTCTTTCTTAACCTTTTTGAGATTTGTGTACCATTTGATGTCTAGGTCCTTAACTTGTGTACACAATTTCAAATCATTTTTCATGTTTTCCAGAAAAATCAACTTTATTGTGAAAATTCACAAAAAACTTAAGAAGTATTACATAAGTATTGCTTTTAACTCAAATCAGGCCAGGAATCGCACACAAAATGATTTTCAATATAACTTAAGTGTCTTAGTTGACCTATGTTATGTGATTTTACCTTAGAAGTATGCCTAAACAAAAACACGAAAAACTTGTTTTAAAAAACGTATGTTTAAAAGTAAACTTTATAAAAAAATGTTAAACAACCTCAAATAATCAGCTATTGGGTAATAACAACCTCTCTCATAAAATCTTATCTGTCAAGACATAAAAACAGCACCCTTTTATATAAAAAAACAATAATAAAACAAAAACAGTATAGTTATAGCTTTCTGCCATTTGTATGCCATATATAATAAAATTAATTTCAATAAAATCATAAACTTTACAAAATAAACATTTATAATGTTATGTACATTTTAAAAAGAGTTTGTTCATTTCATTTCAAGTAAAGTCCAGTGTACAATAATATTTGTTTACATTATAATTGAATTAGCATTACTGAATTCTTTTGAACAATGTATGATATTTTATGACAAGGGCTGTATGACATTAACAGTTATTATATGATCTATAATTGTTGTGTTTTGTTCTTTATGGTATATTTCTCGATTAAAATAGCATTACTTTACTATTATAGTTCAAAGTTACACCGCGATGATGAGTATAAACTTGAATTACTTTTGTATGTGCAGCATTCACATAGTTGTTGCACGCCTTACATGTTCGTCTTTTTTCCCGCGCTTCAACGAAACAGGCAAAAGTTGTACATGTACAAAGTTGTACTTTCTGTGATTTTTTTTAATTATTATAGCCTAATCATATAATAAAACTAGAAATGTGTCCATAGGACACGGATGCCCCCACACGCCACTGTTCTGTCAATCTTATGACTCTAGGTCAAACATTTTTAGACTACATGTGCCACAAGTTGAAAACTAAAAATCAACAAAGGGCCATAATTCTGTAAAATTTGGTCACAGCAAAAATTCCTTCCTTTACTACCATCTACACATTAAGGTTGTTCATCCCTGGAAGTTTAAGCAAAATCTGCCATCCGGTTTAAGAGGAGTTGCTTTCACAAAATTTCTTTATGGTATATAGTGAAAAAATTAACAAAGGGCCATAATTCTGTTAAATTTGATCGCAGCAAAAATTCCTTCCTTTACTACCATCTACACATTTAAGTTGTTCTTCCCTGTAAGTTTAAGCAAAATCTGCCATCCGGTTTAAGAGGAGTTGCGTTCACAAAATTTCTTTATGGTATATAGTGAAAAAATTAACAAAGGGCCATAATTCTGTTAAATTTGATCGCAGCAAAAATTCCTTCCATTACTACCATCTACACATTTAAGTTGTTCTTCCCTGTAAGTTTAAGCAAAATCTGCCATCCAGTTTAAGAGGAGTTGCGTTCACAAAATTTCTTTATGGTATATAGTGAAAAAATTAACAAAGGGCCATAATTCTGTTAAATTTGATTGCAGCAAAAATTCCTTCCATTACTACCATCTACACATTTAAGTTGTTCTTCCCTGTAAGTTTAAGCAAAATCTGCCATCCGGTTTAAGAGGAGTTGCATTCACAAAATTTCTACATAGTATATAGTTAAAAAAAACAAAGGGCCATAATTCTGTTAAATTCGGTCGCAGCGAAAATTCCTTCCTTTACTACCATCTACACATTAAGGTTGTTAATCCCTGTAAGTTTAAGCAAAATCTGCCATCCGGTTTAAGAGGAGTTGCGTTCACAAGATTTCGAGACATACGGACAGACGTACAGACGGACGGACAAGTGCAACGCTATATGCTCCCACTTTGTGGGGGCATAACAATAATTGACTAGTGTGCTATTGAATATGATGGTGATATTCACCGGCATAAAGTCATACTGACCTTGGCTATTGCCTCGGTCAATATGTCATCTGCTGGTGAATATCACATCATTTTCAATGGCATACTAGTCAATAATTGTTTGTTAAGGCATACAAGCACATCAGTATAATTTGTGTTACAAAATTACAAACCTTCAATATTGCTATCATTAACTAAGCTGGAAGTCTCTTATTGGAAAATTTACTTAAAAAGTACAGCTACACAAATTAAACCTATGACAAAAAATGATCACAATATATAGTAAAAAATATTAAATGGATAAAATTTTAAAAAAACAAACAGAAATATACATTGCTTTCACATGAAAAGAGCTAGTAAAAACAAATTCCTCAAAACATGTTTTTATATACCACATATAAATGTTACTATACAAACAATTACAAAAGACATTCAGCACATGTTAAGGAGATCATATTGGTCCCTGGTTAAATCTCTAGTTTATACAAGATTTGCATACAAAAACAATACAAATACATTACATATAGAGTAATTGCAAAATGACTGCATTTTAACTTTTAACATTTTAACAGTTTTAATTGTTACTTTCAATTTAACAGAAACAATGACATTTCCATTCAAGACAATGCAGACTTAACTCAAATACTATTGCAATGTAACAATGTTGATTGCTTCCACAGAAACAAGGCATTTATTTAAAACAAAGTGAACTTATCTTTATTCTTTCAACAAATATGGTTTGAGATTTTAGTACTGTATAAACAATTTCCAACTGAATTCCTTATTCCATCAACCAATATATCAAGTTTTAGTACAGGTAAAATTGTTCAGACTGAAATTCTTATTCATTCAATTTCAACGACTGTAATACAATGTACAAATATAAATTAGCCAAAATATTTTTTTTTCTGATTCTTTCAAGCAATATGTTCAAAGACATTTGGAACAGGAAACAATTTTCCAAATTAAGTTTCTGAATTATTCAAGTAATTTCATAATGTTTGGAACAGATTAACATTTCCATAAAAATCTCATTTCTTATTCATTCATTCTAAATTTAACATAAAAAATTTGGTGTAAGTAAAATAAAAATCTTATTTCTGCAGCCATTATACTGCAAAATAATAAAGGTAAAATAAAAGTCCATTTGAATTTTGTAATATCTCAATGTGTATCATGTAGAGACTATAGGAACAGGTAAAAGTTTCCCTACTTTACTGAACAAACATGATCCCAAGTTGTTTAGTGGAAAATTGCAAAAACTTGTTCTTGTGTTCAGTTCAAAAGTAAAATTCATAGTGCGTTTGCATCCAGCATGGATCCAGACCAGCCTGCGCATCCGCGCAGTCTGGTCATGATCCCTGCTGTTTGCTATCAGTTTCTCTACTTGTAATAGGGTTGGTAAGTTAATGTACAATATACAGTAGTTTCCTGGACAACCATGACAACATCAGGCACTTACAGTAAACATCATGTATATACAGTACTACAAAACTTGCATGGAAATGTTGTCTTTGTTCTATGATATAACTGACGGTTTACTTTCCTGCAAATTATGCAAAGTGACATCAACCACAAATCTTATTGCTTAAACTAAAAAAGAAATATTTTTCAAATGTAAAAAGTACTTATATGATTAAATTTGTAAGACCTATAAGCAATAACTCTCTTTCGTAGATGAAACTTTTTGGCTTAAAAATTATACAAGTAAACATTTTAGCACAAACTTGAACAAGATTTTTTCTGTTCCTCATAAAAATTCTATAGAAAGTAATGACAAAAAAGTAAGGAAATTTCTTTGACAAGAGGGTTAAAACAAATACAAATATCCAGGTATCACAAAATAACAATTATTATTTTGCAAATACAAAACAATAATACAACAACCTGAGTCATCAAATTAAATGCTATTTCTGAAATCTAAACAAGAAAAATGTATGCCATTGAAAACATTTTACTATATGACTAAACACTACTTTTTTCTAGGTCTTTCAACCAATGGCACTTAAATGACTTCATCACCAAACAGTTCTTTTAAGCCAGGAAGAGCATATAGGGACATCTTCCAGGTAAATAAACAGTTCTTCAATACATCTTTCTGAAATACAGCAAGAAAAAAAACATTAAAAAAAAAAAATACAGTAGATCTAAGGTATGTCAAAGTTGAAGGGACTTGCATAAAAACTTCAACACATCGGGACTTCCACTCATAAAGCGGTCTCATTTTAAAGACAAAACTTTGTGCCATCGATGTTTACAAGTATGTTACGAAAGGCATAACAAAAGTAAAGGGTGATAACCAGCTTATACATGTAGAAATATATCCCCTGTGATTATCGTGCAACACCAAGTCTCGACAAATCTCAACTGAAAATAATTTATACTGTTTATATTGAAATACAACAACAGCAATTAGAATGATAACAGTTCAAGAATATTCTCACAAAAAAACAAGACAAACAAAGGCTGTTAGTAACCATGTAATTCACATCTGCCATACAAGTTGATCGACAATCATTTTGGCAGGTAGAAATGGTTTCAAGAAACATCTCAAGATCAAAGGTATCAAACAAATCATTGCACTTCTACTTATGAATAAGTAAAATATTCTCGAATCATTCTTTACAGATCACATAAAAACTTCGACACATGGATAAAATGGACACATAAAACTTTAACTCATAAATAGTTTTAATAAAGGCTTTATAGAGTTAAAAAAATCAGGACTTTCATTTTACCTCAACATACAATGTATAGAAGTTCTACAGAATTACGTAAAAGAAAATGTGTTCAGTGTAACCTCTGCAGGACAACCCCCTTTAGATAACAGATATTTTGGTTGTTGCTGATGTAATGCTCAAGCTGAGGTAATGCTCCTGCTGAGGTAGTGCTCAAACTAAGGTTAAATTTAGTGTTAAGTCTTACTACAGGATGAGCTGATATGATTTATGTTAAGACAAGATTATCATTACCTTTTATATCACCTGTTATAATATTGTACATCTCCGTCTTTTGCCTTTGTGGGTTTTGAGCTGTTTCTTGAATTCTTTTGGTTGCTGTCTGCAACATAATTAATAATATAAATTATAAATAATATTCTACAATCAAACTTGCTATTGATTCCTAGTTTTCCTTGTTTCATCTTAACCTGTGACTATCTTAAAGCTGTTTTTGTACAATATTTTCAATAGAAATAGATCGTTACTCTGATTCTAAGAAATCGGATTTAAAGTCTGAAGTGAATAATCAAACAAGAGGGCCATGACGACCCTACATCACTCCTCTGAAATCCATTGCCTTCGAGTCAACTCAATAGAAATTAACTAAACATTATGCAACACACTAGATCATTTTAGCTATAAGCCTTATGCATCGAGAGAAGATTGTTTTAGGCTTTCCCAATACGAGTCTACATATAATCAAGTGACCCCCAAGGGCAAGATCAAACTTAATAGAGATCTAATGTACATTGATACACATACACTAGCAAAACTTGTGGCCTTGCAATTATTGAGAAGACTTGCAAAGGTTTTTCCTAAAATTGAGACCATGTAAAAACAAGTGACCCCCAACGTCAAGGCCAATTTTGATCCTAAGGATATGATTTGAAGGAAGTTTGTAAATGTCCACCACAAAATTTTACACACCAAATATCTAAGCTGAAGGTATTGGGTTTTAAGAGAAGAATTTGTTTAAAAAGTTTACCTAGGTGACCCCCAGGGCTGGGCCAATCAAACCCAGGCACATAATCAAACTTGGAAGTAGTCCAGTTTACAAAATTTCACAGCAAAATCTAACCCTTACAATTATAGAGGGTTTTTTCCTATATGAGCCTATGTAAAATCAACTGAACTTGGGGCAGTGCAAATTTTGACTCTACTGGGATCCTACATATTACAGGACAATCAGTTTACCAGACAAAATCTATTCCTGTCAACATGGTCAAATAAGGCTTTATTTTTTTGCTTCCATTAAAAAATGTTCCGGTCTGAATCGTACACACACTTTCTATTTTAAAGTAAATAACAACAAAACCATTCTCATGTAAATATGCTTGATTCAGTTCTTCATTTACTAACATACCCTTTTGTTAACTAGTTATTTTATGACCTGGTCATGCGGGGGAATAATCTGTTCTGCGTATGCACGAATATTGAGGCCCTTAATGGGTTATTTTAGATAGGTTTTACTTTTATTTCTTCTCAACGCTATCTTGGGAGACAATCGTAGCATATTTAATGATAAAAAGTAATTTTAAATTTAGTTCAAATAGTATCTCGTTGTTGTCTTTTACAAAGAAATGCAAATTAAAAAACATATAAGAGACGGGTTATGGCCATGGGAGGAAACTCTACATGAAATAAAAATAAAATAGATTTTATGCCTTTTATAACATGCTACATGATGACCAAAAGGAAACTGTATGACAAAGAACATAATTCCATTTGAATATTAAAATGTTTCATACGTTTAAGGATCATGAAGAATCAATAAGTTAACTGAGTTAATAGTGTTAATTTCAATTACATCCCTAAATTGGCCTCTTTGTAACAAGCATGGCTGCCGTGTCTATTTCAGTGACACACTGGGTTTGTCCAGTATCTTATCCTTGCCAATCAATAGTTGTAGTTTCCCTGCTGATTATTTACAGATTAATTTCAATTCACAACTTCAAATATTTTTAAAACATTGTCCGGTAAATTGAGTTGTCTACACGATTGTTTTCCTCTTATATTGCCCTACTTTAAAGACACATTTCTACGGTCAAATGTTTAATTTCATGTTGGATTAAGGAATGTTTACGTGTATTAAGAACCCAAAAATATTTGGGTAAAATTCCACTCTTTTTTATTATTTTAAAAAAAAGTTACAGCGCAAAAACATTGTATTTTGTCCGGTAATATGTAGGATCCCAGTAGGGTACATTTTACCAGTAAACTGTGAGTGTACAGGGTTCTCCTCTTACCTTATAACTCTCACAACATCATGAAAGGCTAAGTCTACATTCACTGGTGGATCTTTAGCACTTGTTTCTATATATGGAAGCTGAAAAAAGTTAATCACAAAATCAATTAAGTTTATTCTGTATTACCCCATGCATGTCAGAACAAAAAGAATTTTCCCACTTTCTCGACATTTCATAAAATTTACTACCTTATAAAAACAGAACTGTTGATAGCTCAATTTTTGTATTTTGATATTGAAATATTTGATCTGATTGTGGCAAATCCATTACACAAATATAGCCTGTTAAAGGCTTACAATTTTTTATGATATTTGCCATTTTGTGTTTGTATTTTATTAAAGGAAAGTATTTAACATGAAACTGGTTCAAACTAATAATATAGGAACAGAATAACCATGACAAAATGTCTCCATTATTTTGCTGTCTTCAAACCTCCACTTGCTTCACTGCAACTGGCTGACTAACTTTGTACATTTATCTTGGTATCTGCTAAACTGATAATGGTCGGTTTCATAAAATTTTATGGAAGCTGGGCAAGTCAATTTAAGAAATTCAGCAAAATCAGATATGTTATGATTAAGGTTGTTACCACACTCAAATGAAACTTTATATATGTATATAATTATGCTCCTAAAACGATTTTCAAACATCGAAGAATATGTAAAATATGTACTGCAAATATTTGTCAACATTATATGTAATCATTAAAATATATGCATTGATTATTGCATTCATTTCTTATTGTAAAATTTGACTTAGACTTTATAGAAAATAAATTTCTAATGACCTCCTTGTATTAACATGAAATGTAAATTCAGTAATATCTTTACAAATAATGCTTTTTGGAACTTACAATATTGATAAATCTTCATCGCAGCATTAAATTTATGATATAAAACCATAAAAAAATTGTGTTACAGGATCTTTAAGGAATTAGAAATTACAGGGTTTTTTTTATCAAGGGATACCTGTCAGGTAGAATGACTGCTGAGACCAAAAGTATGACCATCAAAAAAGTGTAAAATCAAGAATAACTGAAACTAATATATATATCTGTGTTTAATTAAGAAATAATATATCCCAAACTGTGATTTTATTGCTCAATAACATCAGAGTTTGGAGTTCCGAACGACAAACAGTTATCAAGTAATAAAATCATCGATTTGGATATATTATTTCGATTCTAACACGACATCAACAAATAAATGCTGCCGTGCATTATAATAAGCTTAATTGCGGATGATTTGTCTCCGTACTTATTGTCAGCGCGTCACATTTTAGTTGTTACGTCACGTGTATAATGATTACGTCACATATCTAAATATAGAACATCAAACAGTGATTTTATAGCATAATAACACACACTTTCGGTTCTTCTATGTTCAATAGGGAAAAATGCGGGTCATGTTAGAATGTTTTATAATCAACTGTAGCTGATATAATATTAAATGAATATAATAGAAATAACATTTAATTTGGTAAATTTAATCCACTACTTTTTATCTTAATAATCATTCACTAAGTAAGAGTGATGATATTAATATAACAGAGACTACCTTTAAATGAGCTGCAAGAGATCTTCCTTGTTCTTCTGACACTTTTCTCTGCTGTACTAAATCTATTTTGTTAGCTACAAGCAGCATAGGGTATGCATCTCTAAAAGAGAAATTTATATACATTAGTATCAGCAAATTTTTACAGTTGACATAATTATACACAAAAGATTGCAAATGCAAACTTTAATGAAAATTAAGATATAAGTAAATAAAGTTGCCATAGTTGTCTCTTTACACATTCTAATGTGGAAGTTATTTTCAAGCATCAGTATCACTATCAAAACAATCACCTGTTCAGTTATTAAACAATTTTACCAATACATGTCTATAAAAGTAACAGAAGAATACAAATAAAACTAGTTATTGTCACAGAAGGCAAGACCAACAAGCTGACTCCTATATACCCCCCTTAACTTCATTTCATATTCTTAAACTTGTCTTTAACTCTAAGTATCTGTGTATGAAAGCTCCGCATATTTTCATAACTTGCTGGATCTGTAACTGAGTAAACTAGCATAAAGCCATCTCCCTTACGCATGTACTGTTCTCTCATTGCACCAAATTCTTCCTGGCCTGCTGTGTCCAGTACTGAAATCATCCATCAATATATCAATACTTCAAAATAAATTCATGTTGTTGTATTATTGAATATTGTACATATAAAAGGGTATCATTTTTCAAATTTGGTGTCAGGAAAAAAACCTTTTGCATTACTGTTAAATTTTAATACTTTTTAAAGGTTAACTTTGTTTGATTTGTTTAATACTTTTAAAGGAAAATTACTTTATTTATTAAGTTAAAACCATTTTAACTAAATTAAATTCTATGAACATTACATTTAATGTTTGAATAATTAAATAACTGGTTTATGACTGTTTATTTTTAAGCTATTTTTATGTTATGTATTGAAATACATTCTCTTTACAATTAATTCACAGTACTGGCATGCGAGCAGTTCCCGTACAGAAGCAGTACCCGTATTTTTCATTTAAACGCTTGATTTTTACTTGCATTCTTCAAAAATTCATTTCAAATCAAGCAGATGCATAAAAGAGACCAAATCTAAGTGTCAGTTCGGCAGTACGTATAAAAGTCTCATTTTAAATCACTTTCACCTGTGCGTTGTCAAAACGTGACCTTGTTTTCTCTGGGGGATTCCGTCCTTGCGCGCATGCGCTAAAATATTTACACGTGAGGCCTGGTAAAGGGTTTTCCACTAGTACCACCTGTTTACAGATAAGTAGCCAATTTGATGAAAACTTGTTTAATTATCAGAATTTTGATCAATATTACTATATTAAATAATTTTATGGCTTTGATGCGTAAAATATCATGCATACAAGCATGCCATTGCATGAGAATGCGTTGGGGTAACGGTACCGGGTAATAGATACCAGCGTTTAGTCTACGCTCTATTTCCTGAACTACTTCTATTTATCTCTTAGAAAATGGTCTGTTCAACAATTATAATTGTAAAATAGGTCCGATATAACAAAATTGTATAATTATAATGGGTTAAATTTTATGTACGGGAACTACTTCTCTTCCTACAAAATAATGGATAATTTCGGTACCCCATATGAGGCCTCATAACTAAGGGTTATTCTATGTTTAGAACATGATGGAATTTCCATGATTTGTGTGACGAGCCGACTAGTGATGTGTAACATTCAAATTTTGGTGAGTGAGCGTAATAAAAAATAATGTTTAAGTAACTACGATTTTTGTACGGGAACTGCTCGCATGCCAGTACAGCTCATCTGGTTGTATCACAACTTTTATCAAAAAATTACCCAGGGTGATTTGGATAGTCCAACTGTTCAGCTAAAATGTCATTTCAAGATCTAATTTATTACTGTAAGTGATAATTTGATAATAGAGATCACTTAAGTGACCAATCAAGCTATGATGTCACAACTCATGTCACACACACTTATTAATATAACCATATATAATTGTCCTTATCTAAAATGAGTTGGCCCAAACGTCCTGGAGATGAAAAGACCAAGGCAGAGATGTCTGTGAGATGAATAGATTAAAGGCAAAATGCCCTGGAGGTGAATAGACAAGGGCTGAAACATATTCAGAAAGGTGAAAAGACCAGAGTCAAATGTGGAATGGCAATGCTTTTTCCAAAGGGCTTGACAGTAGGAGAAAAAAAAACGATCTGTGAAATGGGTTAAACTATTAATGCCAATTTTATTTGGCTACAAATGTAGTAAGAAACCTCCTGGTTGTGTAAAGACCAGTGTCGAAAGAAATGTCCTTGTGATGAAAAGATCAAAGACTAATAATGCGGGAAAGATATGTCCCAGAAACTTCATTATTCACGCTGAGTAATAATCAATCGTAAAGAGTCACCACTTACTAAACATCAAAATATTTTGTACATGGAAAGATACATATATTTAAAAACAGAACATGCATAATTTTAGCAGATTCAAATTATTCTATTGTACAATATAAATGTTTTAATATCAAGTTCTTTACTTTAAAAATCAAGCATGAAGTACATTTCATGGACTTGACAGTTGAATATTGTTAAAATTTACTGGAATCTATTTAGACTCTATTATCTTGAAAATGAATAACAAGTTTACCATCTAAGATACACCACTCCCCATCTATCTCCGTGTGTTGAATGTATGAGTCTTCAATTGTTGGATCATAATCAACAACAAACATTTTCTGAAAGAACTGTATGGTGAGTGCACTTTTACCAACACCTCCATCTCCCACAACCACAAGTTTGTAAGTTGTCAAATTGTTGTCGTTTGGAGCTCGTGACATTGTCTTTTATCAATATGGCTTTTTACTCGAACAGCCGATTATGGAGAAACAGAATCTAAATCCATGAAATATAACTCGTTAAAATCAGAAAGCGCGAAATTACTATGTAAACACAACTTTCGCAATAAATTTCATGGGAGCGGCCATTACTACGACCTTGAACTTCCGGGTTTTAAATGAAAAATAATCGTAAACGAAATATTTATGCTTTTTATCATGGAGTTCCTTCCCCTTACACTGCTATGCTTTTAAAAAGCTTAAAAGGTTGAAAAGGTGTGACTTAATAAACACTTAATAAATTGACTTCTTTACTTCACAAAATCGTTTTCAATTGTAAGAGGAATAATCAATTTTAGAATATATTTAAAGAGATATATGGTTAACTTCTAAAAATAGTTTACTGTACTGTCAATACCATTGGTTGCTATTAATAATTTTTAAAGTTCAAAAATAGTTTAAATAACTTCGCAATACTTGACTGCCTCATAACTTTATATAGAAATAAAAAAAGTGAGGACACAACTGAACAGAAACATGTAGGCCTACTATTTAAAATTTGTTTGTAAACATCGTCATGCCATGGTGGATTAATTTTATTTAATTGTGAGTACTTAGTGTTACGACATATTTGTAATGGCATTTTATGAACAACAGATAAAATCTAAATAAAAAATAAATTGCCAAGCTATTAAAATCTCCTGTTGACCAGTATTCATTTATTTATTCTAGATTCACAATTAACAATTAAATTATGATCAGACATATCTAAAATTAAGTCCCAGGACATATATGGATTTTTGCACAATTTGCACAATGCGCATATAGTTCTTATTACCTATTGCTTAATATACAATGTATATACATGTATATTCTACTTATTTGTTAGCAGAAATAGTCATTTTTTTAATAGGTGGCTATTTACTGATGTGTAAAACACAGGCAATCGGTGCGTGGCTTGGATAGTATACATGTACAGGGATGTACTATTCTCCGGTCTCCTATCGGTAAATCCCGGTCTCTCCCGGTCTATTTTGACCGGATTTTACTAGAGACCGGCGAATAGTATCACACGTTTATTGTCCGGTCTCTCCCGGTTTAGGAGTAGATATTTTATTTGATATCGTGACAAATAAATAAGTTTTTTTTTTCTCCAAAATTGAATGTTTGTCACTTAGTTTGGTAACAATAATTAATTAACACAGATCATTTCTCAAATTTATTTATTAATAAGATCTATTATTAATATAACTATACATAAACTTTCAATTCTAAAAATAATAATAACATGTACATTTTATTTATATATGATAAAAAACAATAAATACATACAATCATTGAATAAAAAGGTACATTTTTTATGATATTGATGTATCATTTTATTTAATTTGCTATTCGCGTTTAGTAAAGAGATTCAAGTTAAAAAGTAGATTTTATGAATTATTTAATTGATTGATATTTTTAATAATTATAATAATAAATAAATAAATGGTTTAAGAATAATGAATATAATATATTGAAAGAATAATCATAATTTACTGACTTTTTCCAGCTAATTTTAGATAATTTTCATAATCGTCGGTCATCATGACAATTGAATATTTAAAATTTATAAAATTAAAAAAATTGTAACAAACGTAATAACACAGTATTAAAATAGCGCATAAAAAAGAAGAAAAAAACATTTTTCAAAAAAGATGAAGAAAAAGACATATTAAAACAGATATTACAATTACTGTATATTAAAACAATTATGCTCAACATGATCAACATGGTAATTTAATCAGTGTCATATTTTTATTAAGTGTGAACGGATATCTTAAGATATTTAATAAGGAGGGACTTCGCTAATAGCGATTACATAATAAGGGACAATAAACAAGTGTGGTGTTGATCATGCGTTACACAAAAAGATTATATAAATGATTGTATATGTCCGGTGCCATTGATAATCACGATATAACATTGATCAGCATAAAAAAACTAATAATTAAAAGTATAAAATAAAATGTTATAACTTAAAAGAAAAGACTGTTGCATTTTTTATTTTTTTTTGCAAAATCGGCATTAAATATCGTCAATCATTTATAATTTGAACAACACGAAACATATATACATCAACATTATGCACAAAAAGCAATTATAAATAATGACATATACATATAATATAACATTATAAATGTATTTTATCATTTACAAAATGTTAAAAAACGCAATGTAACGTGATAATGATATTGTTTTATTCATATAACGAAATATTTACTTACAAAACAATACAATGCAATACAACAACAACAAAAATAGCATCAAAGTCAATTAATATATATGTTTGGAATTATTTTATATACATTTATCTATTTAGTTAACTATACTTATTTTGTTATTTCAAACTTTTTCATACAAAACAATACAATGCAATACAACAACAACAAAAAATAGCATCAAAGTCAATTAATTAATATCCTTGAAATTATTTTATATATATTTATCTATATAGTTAGCTATACTTATTTTGTTATTTCAAACTTTTTCATCTTCTATTTATTTTTGCCATCATTTATGTATTGATGTATTCATCTTTTTATTCACTTATTAATTTTCTTACATTTAGTGCATTCCCAAGACCAGTTATCAAGCGATTTTCTTATATTCTTTTTGATTCCAACACATTTATGATGATACCATTTTTTACATGTTCTGTTACCACAATAAACTAGATTGTCTACAAACTCGGGCATTTCACATGAACAGAAAGTTTTAATTTTAAATATTTTAGGGATGCCTGTGAATGCAGCTGTGCGTGTTTTTTTAATTTCTTTTGGGAATGGATAAAATTTACCATTTTCTAAACAATAAACCAAATGTTTGCGCATTTCCTCTACAATAAAAGATACATTAGTATTGATTTGACCATTATTGTAACAAAATTCCACCGCATGTGCTATTGCAAACAATCCACAATCGTAGCTGTTCGGTTGTTGTTGAACCCTAGGAACTTTTATTTGAAGTATAGAATTTTGACTGGTATATATTTGGCTTAACTGAATTTGAACATTATTTTTTAACATTTTTAATGAATCACTTAAACTGTCAATGTAATAGATGTAGTGTGGTTCTTTTAATTGCTGCATGCTTACTGCCCAATGATTTTGTCCGTCAAAATGAAGTTGAACTGATGGCGATGGACATTGTAAAATGTTTTTGCCAATAAATATTTTGAATCTTGAAAATCTTGATGGTGCTGATTGCTTGTAAAATTTTTTATCTGTATTCCATTTTTTATCTTTCTCTACAAAGAATGGTGTATTTGTTGTGAGTTGGAAACCTTGTAATTGTGTGTATTGTCTTTTTAGTATGTTTGTTACCGCAGTCATGTGTTTATCCGTTAGCCAATGCTTATTTTCTATTTCTTCTTTGTCATTTAGGTTTAAATTCAATTCTGAGAGCCATGGTTTGAAAGTTTGTTCAGTTGCATCAGATGTTCTGTCATTTATACAATCAACCAATATAGTATGTTTTTCGGGAGAACAAAGTGGAAGTGGAAGTTCTAATTTTATTTTTTTATTTTTAGCATTTTGTGGATTATCATTTGATCGTTCATTGCATTTGATAGTTTTTGATTCTTCATTATGTGAATTGAAATTATCATTGATTGCAGTATTTTCATTATTATTTTGATTTTCATTGAGTTGATTGCTTTCATTGAATGTGATACTTTGTGGCTCTTCTTCTGGACTATAAACATTATCATTTATTTCATTATTTTCATTATTTTCATTACTGTCATAAGCCTGTGATTTAATGAGTTTCGAATCTGGTGCTGGTATTACTGTTTCATAATCACTTGGTTTTTGTTTTTTTAGACCTAATCTTTTTTGATTTTTAGGGCGATTTTTATAACGCATTAGACTTATTAATTTCCTATCATTGACCTGAGTTTTAGTTTGAATACCTATGCTTTTTTTGGCTGCTATAATGTGGTAACATGTACCAGTAGACGGACATTGACATTTTTCTTTTGGAAACAATGTAACACTGTATTTATTATCACTCGTACCTCTCACCATAAAAGCGTTCATTTCTGGTATGTGTTTAACACCGTCACTTTGTATGACTTTATTAGCTAAATCTTCTTGAGACATGCTGCCTCGTTGTGAGTCATTCGATTTGTTGGTTATGTTTTCACTTTTTTCCTCAACTTTTTCAATAATTTGCTCATGATTATTACAGAGCGCTTCACTGTCTTTTTTTGTCTCATTTAAAAAACTTTTTACATGCGATAAAATGTCATCTGTTTTAATTATTTTATGCGGAAACACCAAATCTTCCAGGGCGATTTGGAAATGTTCATATTCTTCTTTAAGGGAGTAATTTCCTAGACCAGCTCGGCCACGTAACACTTCAGAATGTATTCCGTTCTGTAGATAAAACAAACTCAATGTCATCATATCAACGGGAAGTTTTTTGTGATTGTTAACCCATTTTATTGTGTTATTAAAACTTTCAGACACATTTGTCGTTACACCAGACTTTTTGTCATATATGCCAGCCTTTTCTAGAAGCCATCTCCCAGAATAATTTAAGATATCTGGCTTAATATGTGTTGTAAAGTAATCTAGAAATGATTCACACCATGGCGCACTTAACTCTTCAAGCACACTTTCAAATTGGTCCGGTGATTCTTGCCTTAACAATGTGTCTAGATTATAGAGATATAGGTCTGTATTTGCTGTTGGAGACCGGCGTTGTCTAAGCCATTCACGAACGTCTCTCTTAACATGGTTCCAACAGTGAAAAATTGATGCTTTTTTTAAAACATTTTGCACCGCTTTCGTTAGCGCAACCTCACGATCTGCTACAAAATTTACTTCAGTAGTTGATAAATTTGGACAATGTTCTTTCAACACATTTAAGAAGCGTTCATGAAATTTTTGATCTTTTTTCTCATGTAGAAGGAAAGCCAAAGGTATGGTCGGCTCACTATTGAATAAGAAATGTTTATAAACTACGGGTGTCAAATAAAAGTTTCCACATTCAAATGTAGTGTCTATTGAGAGGAATATTTTATGTTCACTAGTCAATGTTAATAAATTGTTGAAATCTTCAATGGATTGCTTAAGGCCAAATACTATTGTAAGTGAAGGGTATAAATCAATTTGGTGAATGAAACCGTCTAGCTGATATGCCAACTCAAGTGTATTGTAAATATCATCTTGTGAAAGT